GATCTGACTCCGATTATTTTACTTATTTTGGTACGTGTATTTTTTATGTGCGAACTGGAAAATTAGTCTAGATTTACTAATTCGATCTATACCGATGCACTAGCAGGACGATATTTTCTTTCAGCTCAACATTCATGTCAGGCGAGCTTCCTTGCCTACACCACTTCTCGCTTCAACACATTTCTCGTAGGCTTTTAGCTTTACCCATTGTTCTAGATTAGATTATATTTCTATCATTCGATTTGGAGCCCATAAATTTTCAGCTGTGTCCCATTTTTTATCTGAATGAAGATTGTGCTATATGTCTTTTAAAGAAGCTTGTTTGATGTCTCTTCTAACGCATATACCTTTGGGTCTACAAAAATCGGTCAACGTTATTTGGAGCCTTATGCTATCAGAGGACTGAAGAATCCTTCTTGGCTTTCTTCTTAGATTTTTCCTTTTTTTATACGGTTCTATATTCCACTCTTGCTATTTATTAGCTTTATGGAAGCATCTATTAATGAGCTGATGTAAGGTCTTACCACAGCTCTGATATGGCTAGGGCAGTTTATTTACAGATCTGAACTTCATCAGACTTAAATCTTAGCAATGAAGATCTAGGTATTATGGCCTCTGTTTGGGACACATTGCCCGTTCACAGTCTGACGCTGAGAATTATCATAGTTACCATAACAGAGAACTTCGAACAAGGCTTGCCCAAGTTGATCTCCTTGACACTACGATCAAGTTGCTAGACCGAGGTCAAATCATTTGCTAAGACTTCATTCTTCCACCTTAATCATGCTCTTAATAATTTCTTATTCATCGCAAGCTATCAGATACTGTTCTTCTTGAGGGCATGCGTCGTCTTGGTGACGGTGGCCTTAATAATCTATCAGAGATGCGCCTCCTAGCCCAATATGTGCTGCCAGTCTTTGATCCATTTCCGCCTTCAAACAACACTGATTCTACCAAAGCCGGTAACTCTTCGGAAGTCGTCGAGGCTGGGTCTGCAGATCACCTTGACCATGAAAATTTGGTTCCTCCCAGCTGGTCGCGCGCTGTTGCCAGGTAAACTGGTCTCTTAGGCCAGGCAACTTTTTTCTTATTAGTTCATTAAACTGAACATATTCTCCTATGGATTAATTCGTCGTGTTCTTAAGGTATCCTCTGTCACTGCTATTTTTACTGTTCTTCCGCCATCGTATCATAGACAATGTTTGTTGTTAGATGTCTTGCTATTCTCAAAGTCTATATCGTTAATTAGCTTCGCCAATCTTATAAGTCAGATGAAACCTATCAAAATGGTGAGTTATTTATTGTCGTATTTATGCTTCCTCCAATGGAGCCCT